AATGTCAACTCAGTTGTCACGTAAGCAAGTAACCTGCTAAAATTAATGGTAACCTGATATCCGGTGAAATTGCATATATTTGGAGTGTTCAGTAGCCTAATTGTACATTTTTAGAGTGTTCAGTGACCTAATTACACTTTTTTTCATTCAATGACCTAATTACATTTTCATGTTACGTTCAGTGGTCAATTTGAATTTTTTATTATTATTATTTTTTTTGTTCTGTTCAGGATTTGGTTCAATTCGTGAGGACAAAAATATAGGATGGGCAAAAGAGTAATCAATCAGTATATCTAGAGTAAATACCTAAAATGGTCCCTCGACTATAGTTAAATTTATAAAATGGTTCTCGACTTTCAATTTCAACCAATTAAGTTCTTAACTTTGCAATTTTGACATGATTTGGTCCTCTATCTATTTGACCGTTTGTTGACCGTGATCGACGATCACCAGAAGAACCTTTAGCTCTCGTCGGAGCACGTTGAGGCCTCCAGGATGATGTTGCACTGGTTCGGAAACACGCCGTCTTCTTCGCTCTGGTACGAACTCAACTACATTGAATCCAAAGGGAGGATGAAGAAAGACAACCGAATTTGGTAGATTGCTTTTGACAGTGGATTCAAATGTAACAGTGCGGTCTGGAAATGCAACCAGAACCTTAAAAAACCGACGGTGGACCATGAAATTACATATATATCCTCAAAAATCACAGTCAACAAATAGTTAAATAGATGGAGGACCAAATCGTGTCAAAATTACAAAGTTAAGAACTTAATTGGTTGAAATTAAAAGTCGAGGACCAATTTATGAATTTAGCTATAGTCGAGGGACCATTTTGAATATTTATTCATATATCTATATAGACTTGAAAATTTGAAAGCATCCTAATTTGGTTAACATATTTTCTCTATTATTTTAATCCAAATTGTAATAAATTGATTGGTGTTACTCTCTCCAACCCAACATAAGTTTGTTGATAAATACAAGATTGATGAGTACTCGAGGACTCATCCTCATGTTGTGTGGCTATTAGATTAGATTAAATGCAAAGAGTATCAAAGATTATTTTATTTATAGCTAAATAAAGATTTTTGAGAATCGAAATAGTTTTACAATAATTATGAATGGAGAGCATGACTCCTACCCATTTAATGCAATCCATCGGAAGACATTGATTCAATTATATTACGCATTAAGAACATGACAACTTTATTTACGCTAGAGAACAATATATTTGTCCCATGAACGGTTTTGTTAGACATAAATACGATTAATGACATGTAAAATACATGTAAATACAAATGCCATATGCAGAAGCAAATCGAGTATACCTATTGTCATAGCAGGTTTCTTCACACCCCAATAGATTTTGTCTAGATGGTGTAGCGGTTTTTGTAACAAGAGCAGTGAAAAGATTAATTTTTGTAAAAGCGTGTGATCATTATTTGTAAATAACTAAATACTCAATTTTAGACCAAAATAGAATACTTCACTTAATCGGCCGACCAAATCAATAATATAATTGACATGCTGATACCGGGCCAACCATAGTCATGTACAGTTAGAGCGATGATACATGACTCCTAATTTTGGGAGCTATATATATAATCTATTTTTTTTTAATACGTGGAAGTTATAGTAAATATAGTTGAGGTATCTGGAGAATCTAAATTCAATTTTTTTACTTAAAAAGAGTTTGAATATATAAACGAGTTCCCCATTTCAAACCACTATAACGACATTATGGTTGTTGTGTAGTCAAATAATGCGTTACTGTCTTATTGTCGTCCCAGGAAAGGAAACAGCGCACTAGAGCAGTAGCAAACAAAGCTAATACCGCGTATAGAAACTTACAAAAATCCAAGAAACTAAAATAATAATAATAATAATAATAATAATAATAATAATAATAATAATAATAATAATAATAATAATAATTAAAAATTAGACGAAAATATTTCAATAATAATATTCTACGTCATCAATAGTAAATGCATATTTTAAACAATAGTAAATGTAAATTTAAAATGGAACGGAAATATTTCAATAGTAATATCTACATCATCGATTAAAATGAAACGAAAATTAGGTAAAAATACCACTGTATTTGATATTCTAATTGAATAATTGACTGATAATAAAAAAGAATAATTGGTTGAAAATGAATATGATATTACTAATTGACTGAAAATATAAAAGGATCACTAATTGAGTGATATTCTACCATTATATATTTTCACCTGAGTAACCCGTCCTGATGGACTGAAGGTGTTAGCTCTAGACGAGGATGGACAAGATTGTGTTGCCAATACCAATGTCGTCTACAAAGAGGTTTCAATAATGTGTAAATATAATCGGTGATATTATGTTTTTTAAAAAAAAAAAAATAGAAAAATTGCTATATATTTTGACAAAAAATATATCTTCCATACAAATGAATTAGGATAGAAATTCATTCCTATAATTGAGTTGTTAGAGAACGAGCACATTTGTCTAATTTATGAAAATACTAAACAATTATAAATAAAATCTTCAAAGTTATAGCACTGCATGCATACATCTAGACATTAGCTATTAATTTGAGCAATTATTTGCACAAATTCAAGTCATGATAACATCAAAATACATAAACGATCCAAACCATATCTTTAATTGCACTATATAATATTTGATGTTTTAATTGAAATAATTATATATTAATTCAAATATTTTTAATATATTATAACAAATCCATTCCGTGCATCGCACGGGTGAAAATACTAGTAGTAGTAGTAGTAATAATAATAATAATAATAATAATAATAATAATGATAATAATAATAATAATAATAATAATAATAATAATAATAATAATAATAATAGAATATTAACGTTATTGTACTTCTGATAAATTAATCAGGATTTCCCCTGGCAAGCATCCGATACCAACAATTTTCTGCAGGACGTAATTAATCGAATATCATTTCAATCGCAGCATTTTTTTTTTTTTTTTAACATGGAGTCTCCAACCCATTTGATGCTTTTGCCAGAAAACTTGAGTGGAGGGATACATTATTGTGATTATTATTGATAATGATTTCTAATTATACTATGTGTAATAAAGTATGACACGGGTAGGTATCAATCATTACTTTAGAAAATTTTCACATAACACAAAATATAATAACAACAATATCTATTTAAATATAGACTGTCACTTATCATCAAATAAAAAATTTTGTCAATTATTTTGTCATCAAATTTTTTCATAATTAACTTATATTTGTTTTACTGGTTAACTAAATATTTTAAAATTTAAGAGATAAAGATAAAAACTAAGACGAATTAAATGATCAATATTAATTTTTTTTCAATTTTAAAACTAATCATTTAAATTAAAATGTAATCTTAAAAATGTAAATAAATAAGTAAAACACACAATAAATCACTAACTAATTAATCAACATATATAACTAGCTAATAAAACAAAAGCATATATCTCAGAATTGGCGATTTTTTAAATTAAAATGTATACTTGATGTCATTCATTATTAAAATCTTGATAAAAGAAATAAGATATATAATAAAGAAAAATGGTCACTTTAATTATTTGATTTATTTCTTTTTATTTAATGAATTTGAACTTTAATATATATTTTGAGTTCATTTAATATAAACATAATAAATTATTTTTTAAAAAAAAATAAATTAGAGGGGGGCCAAAAGTGTATCTACCAAACAATTCAGTTCGCTTCGAGTTTTTACCGAACCGTTCAATATACAAGAATCTATTACCGTTCCGTTGTTCGGTATATTACCGAATCTAACTAGTTTGGTACGGTTCGATTCGAGAAAACTAAACCGAATTGCCCACCCTTAAAGTTAATTACCAAAATGGTCCCTTGACTATAGCGAATTACCAATTCGGTACCAAGTTAACGGTTGACTAACAGTCAAACAAACGATGACCAAATTGGTTAAGATTTTTAAAGCTTAGGAACTTAATTGGTCAAAAAAAATAGTCAAGGACCAAATTGATAATTTCGCAATAGTCAAGGGACCATTTCGGTAATTAACTCAGTTCTACTATATAGAGTATAGACTCTCAAATTATACTCCCTAAATTTTACTTCCTTATAGCATCCACTATAGTATCTTTTTTGGAGCTTTTTCAGAATGCATTCTTTCCAACAAGGAGCAAAGCAATTGTGGGGAGGGAATAGTTAAAAAAGAATTCATATGCAAGGGGTGGGAAGAATGAGAAAACCAAGAAAAAAAATACTACTTGCTGGGCGCGTTTGGCGCACAGCAAGTCCACAGCCGGGCGCGGCGGGCAGTGCACGCGCCCCATTCGGCCTGACATACTTTTTATTATTATTTTTTTCATTTTAAAAAGTTAGGTTTTTTTTTTTTCCCCCTCCCAGATTCTCTTTCCTAATCACTCTTATATTCTCCCCTCTAATATCCACTCGGATAAGGATGCTCTTATGTGGCGGACACTAATAGATATTCTTTTTCAAGTGAGTCCCACTACAAGTGTATATATCAAGATTTTATGAGAGTAAAAAATAAGAATACATGTAACATTTTCCATATTACTCCGTATTAGTTATCCGCTAAATACTATCAAACATTTTTAATTACACTATTATAATTATGAAAATACACGGCTGCTTTTCTTTATCTTTAATTCTGGATCATGATGAATGAATGAGATAAGGCCACCTCAGATTCTCATATTGCTATATATTTATATAATGTAATGTAATATTTCAAAGAGGAAATATAAAAATAATTCTTAAAGTAAATTAACTGGATTACACCCACCTTGAGCTAATCCGTAAAAAGTGTAAGTTCTTTTTCTTTATTGAGTTAATACTGTCTACTAATTATTGAGTTAAGCTCATGCAGAAAAAGAAAAAAAAAAAGAAAAGTGGGTATCTGAGTATCAAAATGGGTGGTTTGGGCGAGTCAAACTCAATAACTTCAACTTTTTCCATTTCACCATTTATGAATTTTACGTGCTCAATTCCACTGTGTATAGATATCTATATATACAGCTAAACTTATAGCAGTGATGGATCGGAGTGAAAAAGAGAAAGAGAAAGAGAGAGAGAGAGAGAGAATTGAGTGCCAACTGGAAATTGATATTAAATTAAGATAAGATTCCAAATGGAGTTGTCTAATAATGGCGGATCACGGCTGAGGCGGCGACTCATCCTCATCTTTAGCTGCGTTATTCTGAGCATCGGCCAATGCGGCGGCCCATTGCTCACGCGCCTCTACTTCCTCCACGGCGGCAAGCGCGTCTGGTTCTCCAGCTTCCTACAAACCGCCGCTTTTCCGGCGACGTTCATCCCACTCGCCGCCGCGTACTTCCGGCGACGCCGCGCCCACGGCGCCGCCGCCGCGAAGATCACCTTCTTGACGCCTAAGATTTTCCTCGCCTCCGCCTTCATGGGCCTGGTGATCGGCGTCGACGGCTACATGAACGCCTACGGCGTCTCGAAGCTCCCCGTCTCCACCTCCTCCCTCCTCCTCGCCACCCAGCTCGCCTTCACGGCCGGCTTTGCCTTCGTGCTCGTCAGGCAGAGGTTCACGCCGTTCACGGTCAACGCCATCGTTCTCCTCACCGCCGCCGCCGGAATCCTCGCCATTGGTGCTGGCGGCGACCGCCCCGCCGGCGAGTCCACCCAGCAGTACATCCTGGGATTCGTGCTCACGCTCCTCGCGGCGGCGCTCTACGGGTTTTTCCTCCCGCTGGTGGAATATACTTACAAGAAGGCCAAAAATGGGATGACTTATACGTTCGTTCTGGAGATGCAGGCCGTCATGTGCCTCGTCGCCACCGCTTTCTGCACTGTCGGCATGATCGTCAACAAGGATTTCCAGGTAAATTATGGTCTGTTTGGGATACCACTTTTCAATTCATTTTTCTTTTCTTTTCAAAAAAATATTCCATATATGTTATTTTTACTATTCATTAGTTAATTACAAAGTATTTTAATTAAATTCTAACTATATAAGGTACTTTTAGTCGTATATCCATATCATATTCAATTAAAGGACAAAGTATTTAGTATTTACCATATTAATTTAATAAAATATTTTTATAAGTCAACAAAGAGTAAGTTTTGCATGGAACATATAAGTCATACTAAAAATCAATGAAAAAGGAATAAAATACGGTGACGTTTTTGTAATTTTCTGCACCAAATATATTTTTGTCGTGTTGATTTATGGTAAGCTAAGTGCTGATTTGTGATGCACTAAGTGTTGGTTTATTGTGCAAACGAGAATGTTTGACAGTGCATTATACTCAAAGCACCATCAAACATATCTAAATGTACCAACACATTATTGAAATTATTAAAATGTCAATGCGTTTTTTCTGATTTGTATTAATTTCACCCGTTAATTTGAGCATATCCAATGATCTAGATTTGTTTGTAGGTCTACACATAATGTCTTATCGAAATGCACCACGTCGCATTCCCTTCTTTTCTTCATAATTATTATTGATTAATTCATTATTAGAAAAATACTACATTTTTTATTAGGGTCAGATCTAGGTAGGTTTCCAGTAAACTATAAACCTAAACTATATATGCCGACCACTTTATTATTTATAGTACTTTAATTTTATATGCTGTTTAATTACATTTTGAATCATAAAGTATGACTTTTGGTCCTTTAATTTATTAGTTTAGAGACTTCTTTTTCACCATCTTGGAAGATACTTTTTATGCGATTTAGATGTTAGAATGTGGTTCAAATTTTGTGGCTCAAATTAATTCAAGACTATGTCCAACCATTATATCCGCGTCTCATGCTGCAGTGCTACACTTCTCCTCTCTTGCACGTCTCCGCCAATTCATGCGCAAAGCTCTCTCCTTTTTATTGTATAAATAGCATTTGTTTTTCTCTTTGTAAGCACTCATTTTTTTCTTACATCAATTTGAATACATCAATTGTAATTCATTCTTTTTCTTTGTCTTCACGTAGATATATATATTATATTCTTTTCCTCTCAATTCCTCTTTGAGTTATAATATATATTATATATTTTCCCATTTTATTATATTCTTTGTCATTTATATATTTTCCCTATTATTTAACTTCTATAATTCTCAATTTTCGATTCTTCGCTTCCGCATTATTCCGTTATATTCCTAACATTAGAGATGAAAATTAAAAGGTGTTTGATTTGATGGCATAGAAGTTATGATCGAAATAAAAGTCATCGTTATATTTGGTTCACCATTTTTAATGAGTTCGAAATTGAATTTAAATTGGACAACTCCAACAAAATTGGTTTAACAGTTGACTTGGTAATTATACGATTCCAAATTTGATATTCTGTGGAGAGTTGTCTATTAATTTTCTTGATTTGGGTCAATTAACTATAAATAATTTATGCTAATTTATTTTTTTTGTTGCTTTGTTGATTAGTTAGAGTTATAATGCAGCTTCACCCTAGCGTAATTTTGTAATTAATTAATATTTACCACAATTAGGTCAGATAAAGATTTGATCTTAGCAACTGCGTCATGAATTGTTGATAGAAACAAGAAATGGCAACATATCGGGCATGTTTGGTTTTGGCGGATAAAATTTTGCCCAACTTTAACGTTTTGACCATCAAAACGCCAAATCGTCAAAACTCAAAACTAAATCTTGCCGGTTTCCCACGCTTGACAGCAACCTGCACTTTATCGTATTCTTTATAAAATTTAAAAGTATTAATACTTTTTAGATTTTTGTTTTTGGAACTATACTTTTTAGATTTTTGTTTTGAATTTTTAAGTTTATATTAATTTTATTATATTAGGATCAACTGTTTTAATTTTTTTTTAAAAAATATTTATTCCTATTATAGGGTCATATACAACTAAATATTAATATTGGTAACCATTCTAATTTCGTCATATTACCAAACATGCAAAATATTTTCACCAAAATCCATTACCAAATATTTGATTTCCATTTCGATTTTGATTTTCATGTGCGAACTAAATGCACCCTCAATCTAAGCAGGAAAAAAAATAGAGTGTGGATCTATATTAGAATATGGGAAAAAGTCAAGTATGCTCTTGAACTTTAGTTGAAAAGTCAATTAGCCTCAACTTTTTAAGGATGCAATTGCATCCATCAACAATTTATTTTGATGCAATAAAGCTCAAATACCCGTTAATGACCTGTTATCACAGGTCATTAGGGTTCTGACAACGGGCCGGTGAGATTCTGGCGAAATTTCAAGCAAGTCGCCGGTCACGGAGAAGAAGACCAAGGTCGCCTTCTCTACCATCTCCAGCAGAAGGCGACCACTATGGTCGCCTTCTCATGTTGAGAACTCGCCGGAGAAGGCAGCCACTGGGTTGCTTGGGTATGGGAAAATAACTTTTTTTCATTCTTATTTCTATATATGATAACGATTTCAGACCCTGAATTGTTTGAGTAAGTATTATTGACTTTTTAATTTTTCACAACATAGTGGATTTAACTTGCCTAATAGTCTTTAAAGATTTATAATTGCAAATTATAATTTTATCCTCGTACTTGCAATGCAATGGTGATAGATTTTATCTGTTTTCATTGACGGGAAATCAAAATCGCTACTTTATTTAAAAAGTGAATGACTAATAATGCTTGTGTTTGGGTGCAGGCAATTTCGAGGGAGGCAAAAGCATTTGACCTAGGAGAAGGGATGTACTATGTGGTGGTAATATGGAGCGCCATTGTATGGCAGCTTCTCATCATCGGAACCGTAGGAGTCATATGCTACGGCTCCTCGTTGTTGTCGGGGATTCTCCTAGCCACCTTACTTTCCGTCACGGAGGTGTTGGCTGTTATCTTCTACCGGGAGAAATTTGGAGCCGAAAAGGGGATTTCTCTGGCCCTCTCCCTCTGGGGATTCGTTTCCTACTTCTATGGCGAAATCAAAAGCAACAAGGAGGCGGACACCCAAGTCGTCAAAGAATCGGAAATGGGCCAACGTCAAAGCCTTCCTATGTGATTGGCATGTATTAGTACGATGAGAGTGTATTGTAGAGTAATTGGTGGTGTTTTTAGTTACGTTGTACGTACATAAATGCTCCATTTTGTTTGTGCCGTGGAGCCTAGCTAGCTAGCTAGCTTCCTCATAAATCAAGCAAATGACTTGATTCAATGCAATTTGAAATATATGTTATTATTTTAAGATTACTTACAGACTAATTTTTATTAAACACTCTTAGTCTGTGTTTGGAAACCCGAAAATGAAAGTCAATAGAAAAACACTTGTGTTTTACTGAAAACAACTTTCCATAATAATAATAAAAAACATTTGTTTTAAAAAATAAAATAAGAAGGACACGTGTCAACACCATATCGATTTAACCTGATAAACAAGTCATATTGGACTCAATTGAACAATTTTATGGATTTAGGAATCTTAAATGAAGCTTTTTTCACTTAGGGGACCCAATTGCACTATTCACTTGACTTAGGGCGCCAATTTGACACTTTTCCATAATAATAATAATAATAATAATAATAATAATAATAATAATAATAATAATAATAATAATATTATTATTATTATTATTATTATTATTATTATTATTATTATTTTATTTTTGTTTTCTTTTTTTTATTATCAAAATAAGCTTTTTCGTTTTAGCCACCATTGTTGTGTTACTGCCGCCGCCAACCTGCTCTTGCTCCATTTACTTGCCGTCGTCGCTGCCTTCTTCCAGTCTGGAAGAAGGCATCAACGACCTTCTTCCATTCTGGAAGAAGGTTGTGACCATCTTGTCAGTGGCAGTGGTGGTGGTTAATCGACAAGGATGGCTAAGGGCGAATAAAATTTAGAAGATTTTTTTTTTTAAAAAAAATTTTGTAACTTATTATTATTATTATTAATTAATTAAAAATTAAAATTAATATAATATAGAGTAAATACCCAAAATGGTCCATCGACTATAGCTAAATTCACAAATTGGTCATCGACTTTTAATTTTAACCAATTTAGTCCTCGGTCTATTTGACTGTTTGTTGACTGTGATTTTTGAGGATATATATATGTAATTTCATGGTCCATTGTCGGTTTTTTAAGGTTCTGGTTGCATTTCCAGACCGTACTGTTACATTTGAATCCACCGCCGAAAGCAATCTGCCAAATCCTGTCGCCTTTCTTCATCCTCCCTTTGGATTCAATGTAGTCGCCTTTCTTCATCGCTGGCGATCACCATTAGGTCTTTCGAGAGGTTGATTCCGACTTTGCCTTAGTGTATGACTCCTTCCAAATGGTTGGATGGAATTTCCGACTAATTGTTTGACAAAAAACTCTAGTTTTGTATTATGTGAAGTTCCTTCTAACAATTGGTTGAAAATTGCGACCAACTGTTGGTAGGAAAATTCGAAATTGTATAAATTGCTTATATTACGTCGATCATGTCATAATTTTATTTTGTAAAAAGTGTCAAATAGGCCACTGAACTTTTACACATTGTGCAATTGAACCATCAAACAAAAAAGTGTGCAACTGGACAATTAAACATTCAAAAATTGTGCAAATATAATTTTTTATAGGTTAATTCTAAGTTTTTTATAAATATGATGTCATAATATCAAATTATATATAAAAAATTATTTTAATTATTATTTGTCAAAATTAAAGCAAAAAAACAATTTTTTTATTATAAATTTCCACCTTTCTGAATTTTTTAAAAAAAGTTATTATCAAAGTAAAAAAATTATTATTTCCACCTTGAATGTTAAATTTCAATTGAGTACCTTTAATCAGAATGCCTCCATGTGCTATTTAAATTGAAATTGAAAATTCAGAAGGTGGAAATAATACTTTTATTTTATTTTTAAATAAATTTTTTTAAATCTCATAAGAAGGTGGAAATTTAAAGAAAATTGTTTTTTTTTGTCATTTAATTTTGAAAAATAATAATTAAAATAATTTATATATACAATTTGATATTATGACATCATATTTATGAGAAACTTAGAAGTAACTTGTAAAATAGGATGTTTGCACAATTATTGAATGTTTAATGGTCTAATTGCACACTTTTTTTTTTTTTTTTTTTTCGATGGTTCAATTACACAATATGTAAAAATTCAGTGACATACACTGCTAGAAATTATGGAATTCCCGACAACTTGAAACTTGAAAGTAAAAAATGGTCGGAAATAGCAATAATGGTTTTTTCGGATACCAAAAGTGGTCGGAACAAGACTTTCGACTTGATTTAAGATCACTTTCAGGTGGTCGAAAATTCTATAATTTTCGGTAATAATATTTGACACTTTTTCATTTTATTTTTACCTGTTATAAATTATTTCTATGTCATTAACAAAGTAATATACATATTAAATTTCAAAATAATAATATATTTAAACATCAAAATTGACTCTTTGTATTTTAATATGTTAAAAAATAGTTTGTATTTTAATATGTTGAAAAATAGTTATAACTAGATACTGCAACGTAATTGAGTTAGTACTATTCAAAACAAAAAATCAAACTATTTACATCAAAAAATAGTTTCATGTTTGACAAATAAAGTAAGGGAATGAAGGAACGAAGGAATGATCACTGCCTCGCGCCCCCGCCCACCTGACACCGTCACACCAGTCGCCGACTCGCCGCCTCTCCAGCTTCATCTTCAAGCTTCAATCGTCGCCCGCTGCCAAGCCTCGTCTTCAACCGTTGCCGGCTCCGTCTTCACCCTCAGGCCTCAGGTTCATAGTTTATTGACTCTGTCTATTAATCTTAATTTTTTCAATTGTTTGCCTAAAGTTTTGAGTTTTGAACTTATCCAGCAATCTGATTATGTTTTCCCCCTAATTTTCCTTTTTTTTTTTTTTTTTTTTTTTTTTTTTTTTTTTTTTTTGTTGTTGTTGCGAATTTTGCCCTAAATACTTGAATCTGTCTGTAATTGATTAAATTGAATATCCAGTGTTTGGTAATTTGGTTATGTCATATGTGATCAAATTTGTTGGAATTGTTGCTGTTTGGTGGCTCTCTTTGATCAAACTTGGGTAAAGCTTGAAAGTACATATTTCTGGCAAAGCAGCTATGGAAGTTTCCAGTTTAAATAATGTGGCTGTAAGCAGTGGTCAAATGTTTCAAAATGCTCCCCTTAAAAAATGTGAGCAAACTAATGTTTGCTGTGATACCTTATTTTGTATTAGCTTGGATGTTTAGTCTGAAAAGCTAAAAAGTGAATATTATGTGAATTCCTTTCTGTTATGCTCTAGCACTATTGCACTTGAGCTCTACTTTGATAATTCTCTTTGCTTCTCTCTTTGATAATGCCTGATAGAATGCGTCAAAGTTTTTCTACAGGAATGCCTCCCCTAACAGTGATGGCATTCTGTGTGGCAGTGAGAACTGAGAAGTGCGACATCTTTGTGGCAATTGTTATATGGTCTCAGTTTTGAATGCCACATTTGATAGATTATCATTTCAGTACTTGATTAGTGATTAAAGATTAGAGACTGTCTAGTGTTAAAGATTAGAGATTGTCTAGTTTTGTTTTTTCGCCCCCACTCAAAAGAAATTCTGGTTCCGTCCCTGCTAATAAATTGTTCTTCTCTGTGTTAGCTCCTACAGTATTAGAAATATAAAATGGCTACTTTGAGTAAGATTATTGAGTGGATTCTTGCATCATAATCATAGTTTGATGATTGCCTACAGTAACTCTATTGCATTATTAGTACTGCTAAACAACAATAGCATAAAAATGATAAAATATATTTATGTAACCATAAAGAGGATTAAGCCATAAATAAGTCGCCTGTACATAGAAACTTGAAGTTAAGCAAAGCAAGAATGGCAAGCTTCACAGTTTGTTAACCAATAATGTGTTGAAAATGATTTATATAAATATATAGATCAGATCCATGAATGCAATGCAGACTAGAAGTGAGAGAAATTGAGTGAAGAAGTGCATAAATAAATTTAATGTGTTGATGTGCCTCTTGAGAAATAGAACATACATCACTTTCACTGCTTCCTCCACATCTAGATCATCTGCTGCATTATTCTGATAGATCGCTCAGTTCACCATCTCGAATTTCCAAGTTGTTCAAAGAGTAAATTGAATCAGGTAACTCTACTTTACACCCTCTTAAATCAATCAACCGTAACTGATGCATATTCTCAATACCTTCAGGGAGTCTAGAAAGATATTCACATCCTTTAAGATCTAGAGTTTTCAAGTTATTCAAAGAGCAAATTGAATCAGGTAACTCCTCTATTTTGCAGTCTCTTAATTCAATCAACCTTAATTGACGCAAATTTCCAATCCCTTCAGGTAGTCTAGAAAGACATTCACATCCTCTAAGCCATAGAGATTGCAAGTTATCCAAAGAGCAAATTGAATCAGGTAATTCCTCAACTTTGAGGTATCTTAAACCTATGAACCGTAATTGATGCAAATTTCCAATTCTTTCAGGTAGTCTAGAAAGACATTCACATCCTCCAAGTCGTAGAGTTTGCAAGTTATCCAAAGAGCAAATTGAATCCGGTAACTCCTCTACTTTTTTGCAGCCTCTTAAATTAATCGACCTTAATTGACCCAGATTTCCAATCCCTTCAGGTAGTCTAGAAAGACATTCACATTCTCTAAGACATAGAGTTTGCAAGTTATCCAAAAAGCAAATTGAATCAGGTAACTCTTCTATTTTGCTCAAAGTTAAATCAATGTAACTTAAGTTACGCAAATTTCCAATCTTCTTGGGTAGTCTAGAAAGACAATCACAACCTCCAAGATCTAGAGTTTGCAAATTATCCATAGAACAAATTGAATCAGGTAACTCCTCTACTTTGCATTCTCTTAATTCAATCAACCTTAATTGACACAAATTTCCAATCCTTTCAGGTAGTCTAGAAAGATTTTCACATCCTCCAAGAAATAGAGTTTGCAAGTTATCCAAAGAGCAAATTGAATCAGGTAACTCCTCTACTTTGCAGCCTCTTAAGTCAATCAACCTTAATTGACGCAAATTTTCAATCCCTTTAGGTAGTCTAGAAAGGCATTCACATTCTCTAAGACATAGAGTTTGCAAGTTATACAAAAAGCAAATTGAATCAGGTAACTCTTCTATTTTGCTCAAAGTTAAATCAATGTAACTTAAGTTACACAAATTTCCAATGCTCTTAGGTAGTGTAGAAAGACAATCACAACCTCCAAGATCTAGAGTTTGCAAATTATCCAAAGAACAAATTGAATCAGGTAACTCCTCTACTTTGCAATCTCTTAATTCAATCAACCTTAATTGACGCAAATTTCCAATCCTTTCAGGTAGTCTAGAAAGACTTTCAAATCCTCCAAGAAATAGAGTTTGCAAGTTATCCAAAGAGCAAATTGAATCAGGTAACTCCTCTAGTTTGCAGCCTCTTAAATCAATCAACCTTAATTGACGCAAATTTCCAATCCCTTCAGGTAGTCTAGAAAGACATTCACATTCTCTAAGATATAGAGTTTGCAAATTATCTAAAAAGCAAATTGAATCAGGTAATTCTTCTATTTTGCTCAAAGTTAAATCAATGTAACTTAGGTTACGCAAATTTTCGATCCTCTTAGGTAGTCTAGAAAGACACTCACAACCTCCAAGATCTAGAGTTCGCAAATTATCCAAAGAGCAAATTGAATCAGGTAAGTCTTCTACTTTGCTCCAACTTAAATCAATGTACCTTAGGTGACGCAAATTTCCAATCCTCTCAGGTAGTCTAGAAAGACACTCACAACCTTCAAGATCTAGAGTTTGCAAATTAACCAAAGAACAAATGGAATCAGGTAACTCCTCTACTTTGCTGCAAGATAAATCAATGTACCTCAGATGAAACAAATCTCCTATCTTCTTTGGGAGTTTCTGCAACGTGCACCCATGCAATCGTAATACTCTCACAGACTTCAAACCTTTGAACAAATCCTGAGAAAGTTGTTCTGGAGAAAGGTTTTCAGCATAAAAGCTGCGAAGTTTTCCAATATCACAAATAGAAGCAGGATTCATAGGCCCTCTGGTTTTCCGCCATGACAAATGACGTAGATTTTTATTTTTCTCATGCCCGCCAACACTGTCGTATTCATTTTTGGTAAGAAACTTGACAAAATCATGCACTATGTCATGCACTATGTTGGGATCCCTGTCAACTTTCTTGGCAAAATCCATTTCATCTTTCTCCAAATTTTGGAACAAAGATCGCATTGCTAAACTCTCAAAAACCTCCCGACCTTTTAGTTCCATCTGATTCTGATCACTAGTTCCCTTTGTTGTTGTGAGATAACCTTGTGCCATCCAAATTTTGATGAGCTCATCTACACCTATTGTATAATCCTTGGGAAAGATAGCACAATATGAGAAACATCTCTTCATCTGTGGGGTTAGATCATCATAGCTTAGATACAAGTGAGGATAGAGATGTGTTCCCACTTGCTCCAACTCCCAAACCTTAGTATCCAGCTTAGATAAAACATCTTGCCATTCCTCCTCGGTATCTTTGCAACGTAGCAGGCTTCCCATGACCTTAACAGCAAGTGGCAGTCCTTGACACTTTTGAGCAATTTTTTGACCAACATCTTTCAGTTTCTCAGAATAAGCGTCATCCCTTCTCCCAGAAAATGCGATCCTGCTAAGCAACAACCAAGCATCTGTGTCGGATATTAGCTCCACCCGATGCTGATACTCACTTGCCATCATTCTTGCAACCCTCTCACTCCTTGAGGTCACCAAGATTCTACTGCCGGGGAGTCCAACCTTGAGGCAGTTCTTAAATGGCGCCCACATTGCATCCTCCTCTGTCCACACATCATCCAACACAATTAGGAACCTTTTATGAGACAAAATGTTTTGGATTTTTTCCAGTAATACTGAGAGCTGAGACAGATTTGTGGAGCTTTTAGTGATTGACTCAACAATGGCTTGTGCAATCTTGATCTGGTCAAAAGGGTTTGAAACACAAACCCACACCCTTTCATGAAAATGAGTCTTTATCTGTTCATCGCCATAGACTAGTTGAGCAAGTGTAGTTTTGCCTATCCCTCCCTGCCCCACTATGGAAATGACAGAGGGACCATTTCTTGCTTCTTCTTTTTCTTCTCCACTACCATTCTTCAGCAACTCTCTTATTACATCACTGGCATCGGATTTCCGACCTTGAATCTCTGATGCCTCCACATCAAACGGAGTAGTGGCCACTCGTCTCTGTTCATGATCAGAGGCGTGTGTGTGTGTTACAGTAGACGGCGATGCATAAACAAAATTGAACTGATCTTTCTCTTTCGTAATCCCATCAAGTCTTGAATCAAGTTTTTTAATTTTCAGGGCGATGTCTCGATTCATAACATACCGTTTGAAATGGAAACAGGACGAGCTGAACCAGCTGCTTCTTGCTGGAGCTGCAGCAATCTGTTGTCTGCGACTTCTGGTGTTCCACTCGTCCACAACATCCTCCACATCGTAGCACAAGTCTTGGATCTCTTCCACCCACAGCTTGACACCCTTCTCCTTGAAGCTTCTCCTCTCTGCATCATCCAACACCTCCCTGATTTTCTTGAGCTTTGATGACAGGTTTTTCATTTCCTTCTCCACACCCAACACTGCTCTTAGCTCCTGGAATTGGTCGTTGATGATGATGAACAGCTGATCCACAACAACGGAGATGATAGCATCGGTGGCCATGATTCACTGGATCTGTACTCTCTACTCTAGTGGACACTGACTTTTACTTTTAGAGATAGATGAGATCAGATGACAAGCTTTGCTGTGCCTCTGTCTGTCTGTGTTGCTTTACATTATATAGTATAGTAAAAAAGAAGATGTAATTTACTTTAATGATTCAAAAAGGATTCCATGCTGAAGAAGTGAAGATGTCCTTGGAGAATGAAGATGCTCATGCTTTGATCATTGCAAAAATGAGGAATATAATATGAAGGTAAAGCTAAGTGCAGCAGAACTTTTGAAAAAGGTTTCCCATGCCTTTGATTTTATTAATGTGAAGGGTTGATGTCTGTTTATGGGAATTAGAAGCTGATGAGCCGGATTTATTGGACTTTAAGTTGTAATTGTTATTTATTTGGCTAAAGTGTCATCTCGCACCCTGAACTATATGAGATTATTCATGCCGCACCCTAATCTTTCATAATGTCCATTTGGATCCACAAACCATTATTTTTTTTTCATCCAGCAATTTTTACAGGTTACTTACAGGTTACAGGTAATCTATGTTGACATTAACTTTTTTTCTTTTTACGTTTTTCTTCTTTTAACACCTTCTCTAGCCCAGCCACGGGTATTTGAACTCCGACCAGATGCTCATCACCACCGCACTCCCAGCGAACATTTGTCATACAAAATATCGAAAATGCTGTCATCGTTAAAGTTTATTTACAGGCATGCAGAGCCCGGCCTGTTGATACATACGAATGAGGTTTTAGTATGAATTAAGCTAAGGCAGTACTTGGGTGGTATTTAGAGCAAGCCTAAGCCCATTGAACTCTAGGTTTTCCATAGCGACGCTTCTTATCCAAAACAACGCATTTGTCGAACACGTGCCGGCTATTGCTGGGGATGACCGCCGCGTTGGGCTTCCCTTCCGGCGAGTTGACGTTCACCTTCACCAATGAAGTGTGACAATCGATCCACATGAGCATGAGATCGCCGCAGCAGATGTCGGACGCCGGCCGCCCCTTCAGCACCATGGCGTTGATGATCTCCTGCGCGCAGTCCAATGCCATGTGGTCGGTGCAGTTGTCTAAGAACTCCGTCACGCTTTTGGGCAAATAGTCGATGTACCACTGCTGTTGGGATCTGGATTGGGCGCCGCCCGGGAGGAGCATTACTGTGATAACGAAAGCCGCCGCTAGTGTGATAACGGAGACGCTATTGCTTAACCTGCCACCCAGTGAAGATAGGGACCACAGTGAAAAACGACGGTTTTTATTGTAGAGCGGCGACTGTTTTCCTGGGAAGACAAAAAGTATCGGTGATCAGTTAACGGGGGCCGCCGGAATTTGAAGACGACGTGAGGCGCAGGGGAGGGACGGCGTGAAGCGTCTGACTATTGGGGGTTGACTTAAAAAGAAGTCCACATAAGCTAATTGTTAGTAATGTTATATTTCACATTTATTTATTATGTAACATTAGAGTTGAATTAGTCCTATAACTAATAGCTATTGACTAGGTGTAGTTAGATAGGACTCTTATCTCTATTATTATCTTTGTAACTTCCCAGAGTTTGAATCTACGTTAATCGGTTTTCACTCATCTGGTATCAGCAAGCTAGGTGAACCTTTGTTTTCTCTCTCCCAAAATTATGTCAGTCCCTACGAGTCTGTTTACAACAAAACTCCACCATACACTTTTCTGCGAGTGTTTGGGTGCAGATGTTACCCCTATCTACGGCCCTACAATCGCCATAAGATAGAGTATCAATCTGCCCCTTGTGTCTTTCTAGGGTATCCTACGTCTTATAGGGGGTACCGATGCATGGACCCAGTAACTGGAAAGACCTTTATTTGTCGTCACGTCAGGTTTGACGAAAGTGTGTTTCCTTATGTTACAGGTTCTCGCGAGCAAACTGGGGACTCAAGCACTCAGAATGACGTGCCTTGGGCATCCAGTCCCATAATCACACAATCACAAGTTGAATCGATTAATGAGCTACCGCTGGCAACCCAAGTGCCACCGCTAGCAATACAACATGAGCCAGAGAACAGAGTGGCACCACGCCGCAAAACCAAAAGCCGGGCTCGGGCCGCGCCACAACCCCTTGTGATGCGACTCTGGCACATGACACGAGGCACAAATGAGCCCTTTCACGCTCTAACTGCCTCTACTGATCCAACTTGTTATACTCAGGCCGTGGCACACCCGCAGTGGAGGGATGCTATGGATCAGGAATTTAATGCGCTTCTGCATAATAATACGTGGTATCTCACACTGGCTAAGCCGGGGATGAATGTAGTGGGCTGTAAGTAGGTCTACCGCACCAAACGGAAGGCCGACGGTACCATAGAGCGTTACAAAGCTCGCTTGGTCGCAAAGGGGTTCAATCAAGTCGCTGGTGAGGACTTTTTTGAAACCTACAGTCCAGTTGTAAAACCCACGACGGTTCGCATATTACTTGCCCTTGCTATATCACAAGGATGGACTATGCGCCAGTTGGATGTCCATAATGCCTTCCTGAATGGGCATCTAGCTGAAACGGTCTACATGCGCCAACCACCGGGTTATGAGGACCCAACGCACCCGGATTATGTTTGCCGTTTACAACGGTCCCTTTATGGGCTTAAACAGGCTCCCCGTGCCTGGTTTAAGCGGTTACATGACTTTCTTCTGACTACAGGTTTTGTAGCATCCAAAACCGACGTCTCCCTTTTTTACTACACGCGAGGCACGTCACGGGTCTATCTGCTCGTCTATGTAGACGATATAATCATGCTTGGCAACGACACCGAACTATTAATCTCTCTACTTAATCAGCTCTCCACCACTTTCAAGATACGCGACTTGGGCACTCCCACCTTTTTTCTCGGCATTGAAACTATACCGGTAACAGATGGGGTTCTACTCTCTCAACGTCGTTACATGGCTGCCATCTTGACTCGTGCGGGTATGACTGATTGCAAACCCTTGTCCACTCCGGCTGCTGTCACACAAGCTATTTCTCCACCGACTGGCCCGTATGAAAACCCTACTCAGTACCGTCGGTTAGCCGGGGCTCTACAGTATCTGACTATCACGCGTCCGGATCTGTCGTATGCTGTTAATAGGCTCTGTCAGTTCATGCACACTCCGACTGATGAGCACTGGGTTTACTGAAACGGGTTCTACGGTATGTCAAAGGCACGCAGTCCTATGGTCTTAAGTTGTCTGCTTCGCCGTCCGCTGATATTCATGCTTACTCGGACTCTGACTGGGCTGGGTGTCCGGTAGATCGCAAGTCCACCAGTGGTTACGCCGTATTCCTTGGTACGAACTTAATTTCTTGGGTCTCTCGTAAGCAACGGACTATCGCTAGGTCTTCCACAGAGGCCGAGTACAAGGGACTAGCCGACGTCGCAGCAGAGGTCACTTGGGTTGAATCTCTTCTACACGAGCTTGGGCTACATTCGGGGAATCCAGCAACTTTGTGGTGTGATAATTTGGGCGCCACTTATATGTGCGCTAATCCGGTATTTCATGCTTGGACCAAACATGTTGAGATTGACTACCATTTCGTACGAGACAAGGTGACTTCTGGTGATTTCCGAGTCAACTTTATCTCCACCAAGGATCAGTTAGCCGACGTCTTCACCAAACCACTGCCATCTGCACGCTTTGCTACTCTTCGCGACAAGCTTAATGTTGTGTCTACACCACCTTCAGCTTGAGGCGGAGTGTTAGTAATGTTATATTTCACATTTATATATTATGTAACATTAGAGTTGAATTAGTCCTATAACTAATAGCTATTGACTAGGTGTAGTTAGATAGGACTCTTATCTCTGTTATTATCTTTGTAACTTCTCAGAGTTTGAATCTACGTTAATCGGTTTTCACTCATCCTAATAACCTTTGCCATGTCATCATAGTAACCTGGTAACCTGTAAAAATTGCTAGATGAAAAAAAAAATAATGGTTTGTGGATTGGAATGGACATTATGAAAGATTAGGGTGCGGCATGAATTATCCAATATAGTTCATGGTGCGGGATGACACTTTAGCCTATTTATTTTTTTAGAAAAAAAAAAGTCAATCCTGCAGTTGGCCTGTGCCTGAGCCCGCGTGAGACGAGTTAGGGTTACATAAACCCTACTCGTGAGTCTAACGAACCAGTCCACAAAAATT